GACCAGGATGGACAGGATTAGGAATGAGCACATCAGAGGGACAGCTCAGGTCGGCTGTTTTGGGGACAAGGTCAGAGAGTCCAGATTGAGATGGTTTGGACATGTGCAGAGGAGGGATAGTGGTTATATTGGTAGAAGGATGTTGGAGATGGAGCTGCCAGGCAAGAGGTCAAGAGGAAGGCCAAAGAGGAGATATATGGATGTGCTAAAAGAGGACATGAAGTTAATTGGGGTGAGAGTAAAGGATGCTGAGGATAGAGTTAGGTGGAAACAGATGACTCGATGTGGTGACCCCTAACAGGAACAGCCGAAAAACGAAGAAGAAGAAATTGTCTTAAATTGCTTTTCTTGCCCTAACAGTGTGATAGTCCTCTGCTGTTTCAGACTGTGCGTGTTTCTCGTTTCAGACCTATCTGTGTGCTTGGAGCAGCGGCCGTGTGAGAATGGAGCTACCTGTGTGATGGAGGACAGCGGTGAATACACCTGTCTATGTGCTGACAGCTTCCACGGTAGAAACTGTCAGCTGAAGGCTGGACCCTGTCACCAGAGGAGGTCTGGACATCAGCTTATAGACCTATATTCCAGCCTGGCCTTCAGTTTGGAGTTTCTATTCTTAGAATGTTTTGTTCCTGTCTATACTTTAAAATGTTAAGAAACTGATCATTAACTTTTCTGATTAATGTTCTCGATTTGTACAGATCAGTGCTGAAAATAGATCTGATGTTCTAGAGGGGACACGATAGGACTTTAGACCTTCTGGTTCTGCATCACAGTGATGCATTTCATATAGTTTAATACAAAGCCATAATAGTCGTCTAAATTCATAGACTGCCTGTTTTGTGTCCAGGTCTCCATGTAAAAATGGGGGTCTGTGTGAAGATGCTGATGGTTTTGCAGCAGAGCTGACGTGTCGATGTCTGGCGGGATTCACTGGGCTGCACTGTGAGACTGACCTGGATGACTGTCTGATGAAGCCCTGTGCTAACGGTGCCACCTGTCTGGATGGTGTCAACCACTTCTCGTGCCTCTGTCCCGCTGGCTTCACGGGACGCTTCTGCACTATCAATGAGGACGACTGCGCTAGCCAGCCCTGTATGAATGGTGGCCGCTGCCTTGACCGCGCCGGAGGGTTCTATTGCATCTGCAAGCCCGGCTTCACCGGAACCATCTGTGAGATGGCACTGAGGAAACATGAAGCCCGAGAGTCTGTTTGGACAACACTGGGCTGGCAGGGAGGAGGAGGCGGGGTCATCCATCACGTGACCACCCAAGGTAAAAACCAAAGGATCATCAGTAACAGCAGTCATCATAGTAACCGGCTGTTTAAAGTGACAGTGAGCGAGCGCAGCACTGGTGGACTCTCAGAGGTTCAGTTCATAGTTCTGCTGGTGTTGGCGGGGCTGACGCTGGGCATGGTGGTGCTGACCACCGCTCTTGTAATGCAGAGCCACTGCAGGGACTGCAGACACGCCCCCTGCTGGTCATTATCACAGCGAGGACGGAACAGGGTCAAGCGAGCACTGCATGATGACTGTCAGCTCAGCTTCCTGAACACAGCAGAACCAGAGAAGAAGAAACTCAACACAGATGTCGTATAGTCTAATTGGGCAGCTGAGCACAGCGTGCAATCTCTCGCCCAGCTGTTCAATCCACTGGTATGACCCTCCTGACCCCCGTGAGCAATGCAGGATCAGAGGTGAGGTCAAGATGCCAGGTGCTCATTCCAGGAGGAAAAACTCATCCCGGTAAAGAAAAGGGAATGTTGTCGGCTGCTTCTCCCGGTGTGCTGCTGCTGCCGGACTGAGAGTCCACATGTAAACTGGGACCTCTACTGGGCCTGACTGAGTGCGAAGTGTGAGGGGTTGCTGGTGCTCGACATGTTTTTCCTTATTAACGGAACAAAGTGGGTTTCATGTTGGCACAGCTAACAAGACTGTTACTGCAGGACCCTGACATAACAGCTTCACAGTGCTATTGGCCCAAGCATTAAAAACAGTTTGTGGCATCACATACTGTACATTTCTTTGTATAAGAATAACAATGTCACCAATGACTGAACATATTTTGTCATGTGCATCCCATTTAATGTGAAACATGGTTGCTGTAGTCATACGGCCTAGTTTGCATTGAAGTGAAGGAGTAGCACTTCATTATTATAATTTACTATAATTTATTTAATGGACACCTGTTCCTTTAGGGAATATTATCATACTACACATGCAGCAGTGACACCAACATCAAACAAGCTTCAGAGACACCACTGTTTTCCTGCAGCTAAGTTCAGTGTGAGCTCTGGACCGACGTGTGGTCACCACCTGCTTTGTTTTCCTCTGTGTGCGCTGCACTTTGGAGATGAACAGCTTTGAGAGCTTATTTAATGGAGTGTGTGTTATTGTGGGCTGGAGTTTTTATAATTAACTGTGCACTACATTTATGAATACTGAGTTATGAAATGTGTCAGTGTGTGTTGTTTAGGCTCAGCAGACCCTGTGTTCTCTGATCACTTGATCCTGGCTGGAGTGGCACCCACACATTTTCTGTTTCTGCTGTCAAAGACGAAACACCAACAGTAATAACCCAGAATTGTTCACCTGGATAAACCTGGATCAGGTCCTCAGGGGTCGTTGATGTAAAATAAAATATGTTAATTACTTATGGTAGTTCTTTCAACGTGTGATTTAGGCTCATTTTGGTTAGGGGTAAACATTTAAACTAAAAATAGATGTAGGAAAACCATTGTCATGTTTTTTAAAATGAAACAAAATGATTCAGTGTATCTACACGACCCTTACATTGAATTATATCCCCATCGTCACTGTCAGAATGCAAATATTTATATATATATATATATCTTTTGTGTTTTGTTGTCAAGTCAGTTTTGTTTCCTTTCACATGACCTGACAAATCTTTTGAAAGAAGTAATTAAAATGCCCCTGGTGTTGAGAAGAGAAACCTTAAAATGTGAGAATAATGCAACCATGCCTCGTCTTTATGGTTAAATGTGGACTGTGGTTTCCTAGAGTCTACAGAAGGAAAATGTTAAAGCTGACAGTTACGGTTGAATCAGGTTAGGTGTTAGGTATTCGGGTTAGGACTGGACCCTACCCCCTTCCCTTAGTTACACTGTTATAGGCCTGGACTACAGGGGGTGGGGGGTTGATAATGCAGTGTAGAAAGAAATTCTTGATAAAATGATATAGTGCTGTTATGTATTTGTAAAACTGTTCAAATAATTGTTTAATTTGTTTGACCTGTGCACATGAAATGCTGCTTGAGCAGGTGCAGACAGACTCACAACAACAGGAAGTGCGCGCATGCAGAATGAGATGACTGGGCTGTCTGCAACAAGGGATGTAAGAGGGTGAAAGGTCTTATTGTTAACATTTACCAACAATATATGAAATGCTTGGCCTTCTATAATCAATATTATAATCTGCATTAGCAAATACATCTACAGGTTTATTTTAGTATCATACTGTATGATTTACTTTCATTTTAACCAGTTCACTTGTCTTGAAGCATATAGGAGACATGTGTGGGCTGCAAGAATCAGACAGGAAACCACACAAAACAGGAACTAGACCAGGTCGCATAGCAACGCGGGTGCTCTTCCTAAATCTGCAGACAACAACTAACTGTTTATAAGGACGTATGTAGGAGTGTAATGTCTGGTTCAGAAGGTCAGGATGTATTCTCAGAAATTCACAGATCAAAATCTGCCTGGCGTTCTTGAATATTGTAATAAAGATCTCAAAAGACAGATTAGCCTTTGAGCATTCTTCATAAAAGAACATACAAGGACTGGTTTAGTCCAACAGCAGGAAGCAGTGACTCTAAACTTGTGTTGAAGTAGAGAGAATGAGAACTGTGAACTTCACAGCTCAGCAGAGCTTTGATCTGATGAAGGAACTACAGGTCACTCGTCATCGTAGTACCGTAGTAATAATAATAACCTTTATTTATAAAGCACTTTACAACTCATCTGAGCACAAAGTGCTGTACAGTAAGAACTAGCAAAATTAAAACACCTACAACATTCTATACAAAATTATAAATAGCATGTCATTGCCTCTATGGGATAGTAAAGAACATTTAAGCATCAGACGCAAAAGCCTGTTTAAAAAGGTGGGTTTTTAAAACTGATTTAAAAATCGCTTATGCTCCGGAGCTCCTGCGACAGAGAATTCCACAGTCTGGAGCCGTGGACAGCGAAGGACCGGTCGGCCCACTTCTTATATGACGACTGTGGGACCACCAGGGCCAGGTGCCCTGAGGATCGCAGAGCATAAACAGACAGCAAGTCTGAGAGTTATGGCGGAGCGAGTCCACGAATGGCCTTAAAAACGAATAACAACACCTTAAAGTGCACTGGTAGCCAGTGTAGTGAGCGGAGAACCGGGGTAACGTGGGCATATTTGGGGGTGTTGGACAGCAGTCAAGCCACAGCATTTTGGACCAGTTGCAACTTCTGGAGCAGGGATTGAGACAGACCAGCATACAGGGCGTTGCAGTAGTCCAGGCGCGACGTAATAAAAGCACGAATAGCTTTTTCTAGATCTGGACGTGATAGAAACGACTTCACTTTCGCTAACAGCCTTAAATGGAAAAAGCTGCTCTTGACTATGGCTCTGACCTGGTTATCGAAATTAAAACCGCTGTCAAATATTAAATAACAAAATTAAAATTGTAAATGTGGTAAAGATAAAGTAAGTAAGGTAGAGTTTTGCCCAAATTGCCATTTGGGTGCCAGACCCTGTAGTGTGCGACAGGTACAGTTTGCTCGTCTATGTTGTTTATTCAGTCTAACATGCCAGCTGGGTGATTAACTGAGTGTAAAAGACAAATTAGAATAGTTGTTTCTTAAGAAGCTGTAAACAGTTTTAATATTGGGACATCAGAGCAGCAGAACAAACTGAGCAGAAGATACATTCATCAGAAACACAGGTACCAATGGGATAAGGCTCCATTTACAAAGGGTTTTTAAGCTGTTATTTTATATGGATTTATTAATGATGAATGCATCATTTAATGTTCCTTTATACACCAGTTAAAAGGCATTAATAAGAACAACACCTGGGTTTCCAGCCGTTTTGAGGAACTCAGTGGTCAAATAGTCCAGTGGAGAGATCCGTCTACTGAAAGAGTCGTGCTGGAGTTTGGCCTTCCACAACCTGGCAATCTAGAAACTGTATTCGCCATTTTAAAAAGTCATTAATTACAGCCTATAATATTTTTACAAATGCTGCCTCATCAGAGAGTGGTACTGAAACACGCTGTCTGTAAGTCACTTGGTGTGTAAAGGTTTTGTGCTACCACTCACTCTGTTCTGGACTTTGTACAGGTGCTGCAGACCATGCTGCTAGCAGCCAGATGACCTGGCAACCCAGAGAAGTACAGTACTGGGAAACAAGCAGGAACATTCAAACTCAAGCAGAAAAAAATTTAGTGAAAATAATTTAACAGGAAGTAGGTGTGTTTGTGGGAGGGGTCACATCTCAGTCTCAGCCAATAAGCTCTCACCTAGACCTGATGCCAGCAAGACCATCTGGGGGCTGGAGTCTGTAGGGTTAAAGAACGACATGTTAAGAGTTTCACGCCAGATTTAAAGGAGCAGACCACCAAGTCAGCATGTAAAACAGACTACTACAAATCCTGTTTATGTCATATCTTGTTGATCATTTTCCAAATCACTGATCACTTTTAGGATTGATTTACTTTGATTAGATAAACAGTGGTTTCAGTTCAACTCTAAAAATCAGCTAGCAGAGAAAAAATGCATTACAACTGATGACACAATTTTTATTAGATAAGAAGGTTTAAAGGACTAGTTTATAATGTCACTACTCCATGCCAAGAACGAGTCCAGCTCATAAGCCCACACAACACTACAACATGTCGTTTTAAAAAAGTGGGATTATAGTCACCTGGTGAAGATAAATGTATGTTTGAGTCTCATCAGCAATCAGGGAGTGTGATACTATACACAGACGATACTCCATTGTACTGTAGTTCCCAAATAATTCCTGTCCTGCAATTTGGACCTTTAAACTACTTTGTAAAAATAATCAAACTGACAATGTACATGTACAAACTACAATGTAAAAACAAAACAAAACAAAACTCACATGCCAGCAAAAAACACCTTTTTACCCAAGACTGTAGGGTCTTATTTGTCAGTTTTCCAACATCTGACTTGTACAAACTAAACAGTTATGAACTTATACCTTTCAGACCATATGAGCAGTCTGAACTGGTCTAACTGGGTCTGCCCTTTACTGCTACTGGTCAGAGCAGAATCTCTTGTTTATACAACACAGGAGGTGTCTCTCAGGGTTCTTATCCAAAAAGGCAGTAAGGGGGAGAGAAGCAAAGGTAAAATAAAAATAAAAGATTATTCCTTTCCTTTTGTAGCCCAAAATTATTGGTAGTTGCAGTAAATGGTAAATGGTCTTATACTTGTATAGCGCTTTTCTATGCATTGCAGCACACTCAAAGCACTTTCACACTATAAAGTAGTAGTAGTAGTAGTAGTAGTAGTAGTCACAGTAATTAATTACACAAAAAAATGGTAAAAATGTAATTTAACCACTTCAGTCACTACACAAATATGAATGCAGCTGAACTACCAGCAAGTTACTACAAAATATAGTTAAACCGCTGGTTTAATTGCATGTAGTTCACTACTCCCCAACACTGACTGCACAGACAAGAGAGTGGTGTCATTACTTTATATACGGAACCACTGATTTCTATTAAACTAATTTGGAAAATGTTCAAGTATATAGACGATATGTAGCACACTGGCGAAAGGTAAAACCGGAGGTTTGTGTTTCCTCTGCCTTCACTTTACACATTCAGAGAAACTCCTTTAATTGTTCCCTCTGAACAAATCTGGTCACACCAGTAACAGATTAAATTCAACAAATAAATCCACATGACAGCGCCCTCCACAGGAGCTTCAATTCATATGAATGACAACGCACAGCTAATATGCTATGATATCTTAAGAAACTGTTGATTCTGTTGAACTGATGTCAATGCAAAATATATCTGTTTTAAAAACTGGTGTGGCCGAGTCTTTAATATATTTATTTCTGTCAAGTGCTCTGATCCGGAGCCATCCCAAAACCAGAAAACAACATCAGACCACACAGATGAGTGAAATTACAGAGGAACCACAGAAGAAGAAGACTTTAGAAGGAATATTTCTGAAATGTTCGTTGTTAGGAAAAGGAATATTCTTTATTGACTGGGATTAGATCAAACCAGTTAAACCTGATTCACACATAGACCTCTGCTACACAGATTACAAAACCTCCGAGTGTCACTGAGGACACCTACCACCACAGCACCAGATCCATACTGGTCTTACATGGGACTGACCATGCTAATACTGAGTCAGCTGGGACAGTGCCAGTCTAGTACTGAGCTCAGCTACAAAAGATCCCAGCAAATACTGGGATCAAGTGAGGAAAAACAGGCTATTACTGGACTCCACTGGGACTGAACCAGGCTAAAACTGGGTCAGCCAGGACAGACTGGACTAGGATGAAGTCTAAAGGGGTTTTGCCATCATAGGAACCCACTGAAATGCGTTGCGCCGAGTTACACGAGTCACAGGCTCTGCTTTTGTTTCCACTACACTACTACTGTGCCTGCTTTGGAGGTGCATTCTGGGAGCTAAAGTCCAGCCCCCCCCCTCAGGAGGTAGCACTAAAATCAAATACCAGGACCATGAAGGGGGAGGAAGTGCATGAATGTAGAGCAGTCGCCGGTGATTGGTTAAATGTCGGCGTCTTCACACCTCAAGCGTTAACAAGCACCGTGTGTAAACACACAGCTGTGACTGCGTGTGTGTGTGTGTGTGTGTGTGTGTGTGA